TTGGAACACCAATCAGTGCTCGGGATTGGAACGCCGAACGCTCTGGACTGGAACTTCAAGCAGCAATAGGAACTGGAACGCCGGGAGTCGTTCGGGGCATGAACGCCACGGAGCACTAGGAGCTGGAACGTCAAGGAGCGCTCTGGACTGGAACAGAACGGAGCGCTCGGAGCTGGAACAGAAAGGAGAGACTAATGCGGAGGTTAGATTAAAGTGTCAACGCAAAACGACGATAATTTGTTTTTCTTTTCCTCTGTGGGATCTTGTGCCACAGTCTGGCTCTCTGTGGTGCTTCTATCTGGCTCTCTGTGGTGCTTCTATCTGGCTCTCTGTCGTGCTTCTATGTGGCTTTCTGTGGTGCTTCTATCTGGCTCTCTGTAGTGCTTCTGTCTGGCTCTCTGTGGTGCTTCTATCTGGCTCTCTGTGGTGCTTCTATCTAGCTCTCTCTGGTGCTTCTATCTGGCTCTCTCTGGTGCTTCTATCTGGCTCTCTCTGGTGCTTCTATCTGGCTCTCTCTGGTGCTTCTATCTGGCTCTCTCTGGTGCTTCTATCTGGCTCTCTCTGGTGCTTCTATCTGGCTCTCTCTGGTGCTTCTATCAGGTTCTCTGTGGTGCTTCTATCTGGCTCTCTCTGGTGCTTCTATCTGGCTCTCTCTAGTGCTTCTATCTGGCTCTCTGTGGTGCTTCTGTCTGGCTCTCTGTGGTGCTTCTATCTGGCTCTCTCTAGTGCTTCTATCTGGCTCTCTCTGGTGCTTCTATCTGACTCTCTGTCGTGCTTCTATCTGGCTCTCTGTGGTGCTTCTATCTAGCTCTCTGTGGTGCTTCAGTCTGGCTCTCTCTGGTGCTTTTATCTGGCTCTCTGTGGTGCTTCTATCTAGCTCTCTGTGGTGCTTCTGTCTGGCTCTCTGTGGTGATTTTATCTGGCTGTTCGTTGTGCTTCTGTCTGGCTCTCTGTGGTGCTTCTGCATGACTCTGTGGTGCTTCTATCTGGCTCTTTATGGTGCTTCTATCTGGCTCTCTGTGGTGCTTCTATCTGTCTCTCTGTGGTGCTTCTATCTGGCTCTCTGTGGTGCTTTTATCTGGCTCTCTGTCGTGCTTCTATCTGGCTCTTTGTCGTGCTTCTATCTGGCTCTCTGTGGTGCTTTTGTCTGGCTCTCTCTGGTGTTTCTATCTGGCTCTCTGTGGTGCTCCTGTCCGGTTTCCAGTGGTGCTTCTATTTGGCTCTCTGTCGTGCTTCTATCTGGCTCTCTGTGGTGCTTCTTTCTGGCTCTCTCTGGTGCTTCTATCTGGCTCTCTCTGGTGTTTCTATTTGACTCTCTGTGGTGTTTCTGTCTGGTTTCCTGTGGCGCTTCTATCTGGCTCTCTGTGGTGCTTCTGCATGACTCTGTGGTGCTTCTATCTAGCTCACTGCAATGCTTTTAGTCTGTCTCATATCCTTGCAAATGTTAGTCACACAGGCTTAGGGCTTTTCCTTTATAAATATACCTTACCCTATCTTATCTTTCCTTACCGTCAAAACCTCATGCAATCAACAATAACAAACAATATCAGCATCTAACGTTACCAACAGCAGCAACGAAGGACCCAAACAACATCAACCAAACAATAGTAATTTGATGCAGTAGTTCTCTAAACGCGACAACACTAAAAAAAAAAACTTTACAAACTTTCTCCTGTAATTTCAGACAGAACTGGACCAACTGAAGTTTGTTTCCTGAATTATGCAGTAATTTTCACTTGGTAATTTACAGTGTATAATTACCGTTAATAGCCCCCCCCCCACTTGTAATTATTCTACACTGTTCTGGTAGTGTAGATCCATGGAACTGTTATTTTTTTTTGTCACCATACAAAAGCGGTATTTAATTTTTATTTGTGGTTGTATTTTTGTGGAATACAAAGAGATCAGGTATGTGTTTTGTGCTGTTTGATTTGAATATACGTCATTAGTTTTGTTAATGCAGAGATTTAAGCTGGTGGAAGATAATTTGGAAGTGTATGTAAAGTTTGTAGCGGGTGCTGCATATTGTCTTCATTGAGGTGAAGGGTCCCCCTCTCAAGCAGAGGTGGTAGTCTCTCTCTCTCTCTCTCTCTCTCTCTCTCTCTCTCTCTCTCTCTCTCTCTCTCTCTCTCTCTCTCTCTCTCTCTCTCTCTCTCTCTCTCTCTCTCTCTCTCTCTCTCTATATATATATATATATATATATATATATATATATATATATATATATATATATATATATGTAATGCATATGTATTCACCTAGTTGTGCTTGCGGGGACTGAAATCTGGCTTTTTCGGCCCACCTCTCAACTGGCAATCATCAACTGTTTCTAACTACTAACTAACAAGTTTTTTCTCTCTTCACACACACACACACACACACACACACACACACACACACATACTTTCGTGCGTTTCTGGGAGACACTTATAACTCATTAACGTGTTAGCGACGCTTAATAGAGCAGTTTCGCTCCCGTCGTCACGGCACTTATACCCCGGACACGGCGTCTGTCGATGCCCCTGACTCATCAACCTTTCGCTCAAACACCTACGAAACCTCTACATCTTTTCTCGAAAATGCAGGGCTTGATTTATAATAAACAGTTTACGAGGATCGAAACGTCACAACCCAAGGTTATTGTCGTTGTAAACAACCTCGTAGCCCATAAGTTGTATTATGAGCTGTATAAGTTGTATCGAACCCGGAACCTCGGGACTAGGAATCCAAAGCGCTGTCTACTCAGCTATCAGGCCCCGTACAGACTCGGCTACGCTGTGGTTAAAAGAATGGAACAACTGATGATAAAGAGGATCCTTGAAGTTATCTTGAGATGATTTCGGGGCTATTTAGTGTCCCCGCGGCCCGGTCCTCGACCAGGCCTCCACCCCCAGGAAGCAGCCCGTGACAGCTAACTAACACCCAGGTACCTATTTTTACTGCTAGGTAACAGGGGCATAGGGTGAAAGAAACTCTGCCCAATGTTTCTCGCCGGCACCTGGGATCGAACCCAGGACCACAGGATCACAAGTCCAGCGTGCTGTCCGCTCGGCCGACCGGCTCCCTGATGATGGAACATTTGACGATGATCAGGGAGATGGAAGAATTAATAATAAAGAAGGATGAGAAAAATGCGGGAACATGATAGTTGATAAATAAAAAACCGAGTCTCTCACAAGTATGTCTGTGCTTACCTATTTGTGGGCTTCAGAGTCGAGATGCAGCTCTTGAACCGAGCGCCCCCTGTAGCCACCTGTTGCCACCTGTAGCCACCTGCCACAGGTAATGACAGCCATCTGCTACAGGTAATAACAGCCACCTGCCACAGGTAACGGTAGCCACCTGCAACAGGTAACAGCCTGCAGCCACCTGCCACAGGTAACGGTAGCCACCTGCCACAGGTAACGGTATCCACCTGCCACAGGTAACGGTAGCCACCTGCTACAGGTAACGGTAGCCACCTGCAACAGGTAACGGCAGCCACCTGCCACAGGTAACGGCAGCCACCTGCCACATGTAACGGTAGCCCCACCTGCCACAGGTAACGGTAGCCACCTGCCACAGATAACGGTAGCCACCTGCCACAGGTAACGGTAGCCACCTGCCACAGGTAACGGTAGCCACCTGCTACAGGTAACGGTAGCCACCTGCCACAGGTAACGGCAGCCACCTGCCACAGGTAACGGCAGCCCCACCTGCCACAGGTAACGGCAGCCACCTGCCACAGGTAACGGTAGCCACCTGCCACAGATAACGCCAGCCCCACCTGCCACAGGTAACGGTAGCCACCTGCCACAGGTAACGGCAGCCACCTGCCACAGGTAACGGTAGCCACCTGCCACAGGTAACGGTAGCCACCTGCCACAGGTAACGGCAGCCACCTGCCACAGGTAACGGTAGCCACCTGCCACAGGTAACACCAGCCCCACCTGATCCTGGCAACCACTGTGTCACACAGTCTGGTGGACCTTGTATGCTACCCACATACACAAAGAATCAAACCCAATCATAACCTTTCAACACTGTTAGTTTCAGGCTTTTTCAGAGTCAGTAATTTCTCTTCCATTTGACCCGAGTGTGTTGAACAATATAGTCTTGACAACAGAGATGGGGATACCGTGACATAATTCGAGTTCAAGTGCTTGTTACCTATTGATTTAGCTGTAATTATGGCGCTAAATTATGCAATTTGGCTGGATTTTGGCCAAATTTGGTCATTATGATGAGAGATGGTATCCATACAATAGATATTCTAAGCCTTTTGTTCCGTGCAGCAAGCAGGGTATTTATAATTGCTATTATATATATACTGTCAATCTGTCAATCTCTTACTTTCAATCTTGCAGGAGAAATTGTGAAGTTTTGAAAAGCGGTCTTTGAATAAAAGTGAGTTATTCTTCCTTCTGTGATATTTTAGTGTATTGGTAGCTAGTTGCAGTGTAGCTAGTTGTTATTGTGTAGCTAGTTGCAGTGTAGCTAGCTGTGATTGTGTACCTAGTTGCAGTGTAGCTAGCTGTGATTGTGTACCTAGTTGCAGTGTAGCTAGCTGTGATTGTGTAGCTAGTTGCAGTGTAGCTAGCTGTGATTGTGTAGCTAGTTGCAGTGTAGCTAGCTGTGATTGTGTAGCTAGTTGCAGTGTAGCTAGCTGTGATTGTGTAGCTAGTTGCAGTGTAGCTAGCTGTGATTGTGTAGCTAGTTGCAGTGTAGCTAGCTGTGATTGTGTAGCTAGCTGTGATTGTGTAGCTAGTTGCAGTGTAGCTAGCTGTGATTGTGTAGCTAGTTGCAGTGTAGCTAGCTGTGATTGTGTAGCTAGTTGCAGTGTAGCTAGCTGTGATTGTGTAGCTAGTTGCAGTGTAGCTAGCTGTGATTGTGTAGCTAGCTGCAGTGTAGCTAGCTGTGATTGTGTAGCTAGTTGTTATTGTGTAGAGTTCAGCTAGTTGTTTACTCTTATACTGATTGTGTGCAAGAATTGTTTCTATAAGACCTACATGTTGTTGTAGTCCGTCCTGTTAGGGGCAAGAACAACCAGTCCTCCACCCAACCTCAGGGCAAGAACAACCAGTCCTCCACCCAACCTCAGGGCAAGAACAACCAGTCCTCCACCCAACCTCAGGGCAAGAACAACCAGTCCTCCACCCAACCTCAGGGCAAGAACAACCAGTCCTCCACCCAACCTCAGGGCAAGAACAACCAGTCCTCCACCCAACCTCAGGGCAAGAACAACCAGTCCTCCACCCAACCTTAGGGCAAGAACAACCAGTCCTCCACCCAACCTCAGGGCAAGAACAACCTGTCCTCCACCCAACCTTAGGGCAAGAACAACCAGTCCTCCACCCAACCTTAGGGCAAGAACAACCAGTCCTCCACCCAACCTTAGGGCAAGAACAACCAGTCCTCCACCCAACCTTAGGGCAAGAACAACCAGTCCTCCACCCAACCTTAGGGCAAGAACAACCAGTCCTCCACCCAACCTTAGGGCAAGAACAACCAGTCCTCCACCCAACCTCAGGGCAAGAACAACCAGTCCTCCACCCAACCTCAGGGTAAGAACAACCAGTCCTCCACCCAACCTCAGGGCAAGAACAACCAGTCCTCCACCCAACCTCAGGGCAAGAACAACCAGTCCTCCACCCAACCTCAGGGCAAGAACAACCAGTCCTCCACCCAACCTCAGGGCAAGAACAACCAGTCCTCCACCCAACCTCAGGGCAAGAACAACCAGTCCTCCACCCAACCTTAGGGCAAGAACAACCAGTCCTCCACCCAACCTCAGGGCAAGAACAACCAGTCCTCCACCCAACCTTAGGGCAAGAACAACCAGTCCTCCACCCAACCTTAGGGCAAGAACAACCAGTCCTCCACCCAACCTTAGGGCAAGAACAACCAGTCCTCCACCCAACCTCAGGGCAAGAACAACCAGTCCTCCACCCAACCTCAGGGCAAGAACAACCAGTCCTCCACCCAACCTTAGGGCAAGAACAACCAGTCCTCCACCCAACCTTAGGGCAAGAACAACCAGTCCTCCACCCAACCTCAGGGTAAGAACAACCAGTCCTCCACCCAACCTCAGGGCAAGAACAACCAGTCCTCCACCCAACCTCAGGGCAAGAGCCAATAGCTCGCACAACAAGGGCCGCCTAGAGAGTCATAAACACGGCCCCCAAGATGCGTTCATTCTTCCTTTGTCCTGAAATAAGACTTCAAGAAACAACTGCCGATGGCGCCCTCTCCAAAGCAACCCCTACCACCAGGGACGCAGATGGATAGTAAAACTACTCAACCAAGATTCCTTACAAGCTGCTCTACTCGGGCCACCAGCGTACAGGGGGATAGTAATCAGGCTTACTATCCCTTTTCCTCCTGAAGAGTGGCCATCCTCCCTCGGCCATTACTATCCATTTTGATCTTTGAAGAAAATGGGAGCCATTTCTGGCGGGAATATTTATGGGAGACTTGTAGGAATCCGGTTATTGGGTTTTCGATATCGTGTGGGAGTCGACGATATCCTGTGGGACGTTATCACCTGAGGGTTGAGTGACACTTAACAGCATTTCTTGTAGGGAAAAGGAGCGCTCAAGCGCCACCTCGCAGACTGGATATATGAAAGTGTGAATACATGTATATTTCATATAATTATATGTACATATATATAGTTACATGAAAATAATTTTATGTAGTTTATATAAGGTGAATGAAAGGTCAAATGCATGTGTAAGTGTATTAAAAATCACATTTTCGGATGCACCCAATATCTTTCCTCAAGGTTCACTGACTGAATTTCTTTAATAACTCTTTTTGCCTCAAAAAATATTTAAGTATTATAGAAAAATGTAATTCAACTCTTACGAGATGCATTTTTGTATATCATCATTCCAACCTGACTTTGCCACTTAACCTAGCCCAAACTTAACCTAACTTAAATAACCCGATTAATCCTCAGTACAAGCTAACTTAAGTAAAAAAAAATCACCCGATATGATTAAACACTAAAGTAATTAATCACGTGAATTAATATCACATGTATATTAATCATGTATATTAATATCATGTTACCAAAAATCTCACAAAGATGCTGTAAGTTAATGGATCTTACCGTGCGATGAGGTCGGGGCTCAGCGTCCCCTCGGCCCGGTCCTCGACCAGGACCTCCTACACCAGGGACGCTACAACCCCCCCCCCCCCTCCCCTTAACCATTACGAGATGATATCATTCCATTACGTGACCAATAGGGCATCGTGAAGCCCCCTCGGGGGGTAAAACATACAGAGCATCCAACTCTCTCTCCGTAATCAGTAATATCGGGATCATGACTCCCATCAGACTATATATCCCTCCTTCAATTTGCAAGATGCAGTGCACGAGGATGGGAAACGAAGATTAAGTCTGTGATGTTTTGCCAATATCAATCCTTGCGAATCTGACGTTTTTTGGAGCAATTCCTCGACCCATTGGCAGTCTTCTGAGGGGGAAATAGCAGAGTGCTTTCATGAATATGGCTGTCATGAGCTCACTGTGTTTACTTTGTGTGTGTGTGTGTGTGTGTGTGTGTGTGTGTGTGTGTGTGTGTGTGTGTGTGTGTGTGTGTGTGTGTGTGTGTGTATGTGTGTGGGTGTGAGGGGGGGGTGTACTCACCTAATTGTGTTTGCGGGGGTTGAGCTCTGGCTCTTTGGTCCCGCCTCTCAACGATCAATCAACTAATGTACAGGTTCCTCAGCCTACTGGGCTCTATCATATCTACACTTAAAACTGTGTATGGACTCAGCCTCCACCACATCACTTCCTAATGCATTCCATTTGTCTACTACTCTGACACTGAAAATATTCTTTCTTGTGTGTGTGTGTGTGTGTGTGAATGTGTGTGTGTGTGTGTGTGTGTGTGTGTGTGTGTGTGTGGGTGTGTGTGTGTGTGTGTGTGTGTGTGTGTGTGTGTGTGTGTGTGTGTGTGTGTGTGTGTGTGTGTGTGTGTGTGTGTGTGTGTGTGTGTGTGTGTCTTGGTGGCTTCACTTGCTGGGTCATACCTCTTAGCACTAAAGAAAGGTTGTAATATTCCAATGACTTCCTTTAGCACACAAAGAAACTCAGTAGTGATACATCACGCTAATGTGGTTTCTTTGGGGCATTTGAAGAGAAGCGTCGAGGGTAGAACTGCTGTACCACAGCCAGAGTGCCTTCAGGCAGTTAGTGAAACCCTGACTTGGCTTCAGTGAACCCCTTAGGGACTCCTTAGAGGATTCAGCTGAATCCCAAATTTCCTTGCTTTTTCATGTCGAGGCTCAGTGGTCTAAGGTGTGTGTGTGTGTGTGTGTGTGTGTGTGTGTGTGTGTGTGTGTGTGTGTGTGTGTGTGTGTGTGTGTGTGTGTGTGTGTGTGTGTGTGTGTGCTTGGGAGTAATGGGTGTGCAAGTTCGAATCCTCCTAATGGCTCCTATTAATTTTATCACTGCTACTTTTACCATTTATTTTTAATGCGCTCTCCCTGGTACATCCCACAATGTATTTCTTTAATCAGTGGCGATTTTCTTGAAAATTCTGTATGTCGTGATCATGTCTCTTCTGTTTTTTTTTTCTCTCTCGTCCAATTATGTAAAGCTCTGAATGACTCTTTGTTCATATTCATGTAGCCGGATGTAAAGCTTTCTAACCTTGCATGTGGTACTGCAGCCGGATGTTAGGCTGGCTAACCTTGCATGTGGCGCTGATGTATCTTCGTTTGTGTTTGCAGCGACAGGTTCGCTACCAAAAAACGTCTATGGTGGCACCTTTCGTGAACACCTATCCCTTATTTCCTTGACTTTCTTGGAACCAGTCATTAAAAAAGCCAACCAATTCTTCCAGTTTCTCCTGCTTCTTCTTTTGCTTTTCTGAAGTCTTTTTTGCACTTTTATATCGTGTTCTTCCTGTCTTCAGTAGCGGTTGTTTCAATATTCTTCGTTCAGCAGCTTTTCATTCTGATTCAGACAGTTTCTTTTGTTATGAAGCAATCGTGTTTAGTTCTGTATGGGCGTTACTGTTCTTTGTGGAATTATTTGCATCTTAAATTATTCAGTCTTCTTATTTTCTCCCTTATTGACTTTTTTAGCCTAATGGAACTGTGGAACAAATTAGGTTAGGTCTATTCTTAATATGAGTACAGTGTGGAGTGCATGATACATTGGACTTAATGTGTTGAGTGCATGTAAGACTGGACCGAATGAGTTGAGTGCATGTAAGACTGAACCTAATGAGTTGAGTGCATGTAAGACTGAACCTAATGTGTTGAGTGCAGAACGAGTGCATACACCGCCTAGGGCTGCCAGTCTTCCTGTGCCTATCACCCATTCCTTAGTACCGGTCGCCGAGTACCAAGACCTTCAGGAGCCAGAACTCCTTTACTATTAAAAACTGCAACAATGCATAAAGCGTTTGTTGGCAATAGGCAAAGCAGACAGTTCACTTCTGAAACATCTTTGCCGTGGGCCTCTTCCCTCGCACACGAAGATAGAGGATAAAGAAAGTCAAAAGAAAAACAAAAAACTATTTTCTAAACACATGGGAAGACTGGAAATTTGAACAACCTTGTATTGCAAGGCATAATAATTAATTATCTTATCAATGTTATCTGAGTAGACTTGTATTCTCCCCCCAAGAGTAATTGTTATGCTTTTAAAAGCACACAGACATACGCATTCTCTTCATAGCCTCGGAGTGCTTTATTTCATCGTAAGGGCTTTATCTAGAAGAGGTCATTTCCTCACTTGCTTTGATCTATTGTAATTGATTGGGTAAAAAAAGTCTCCTTTTATTTTACTTGCTGGTTACCAGTTATTCTTGCTTGGATCCAGGCTATGATGTATATGGGTCTTTGCATTTCTATCCGTCGTATCGGTTCGTGTAGTTTTTTTTTAGGGGGAGGGGTTTATTCTTTATTTTAAACTAAAGATTCTGACACAAGGTTTCGTCGTCCGGTTGACTTTCCTTCCAGATCGTCCCAAAGTTAACAGTCTTCTGCGGATCATCAATGCATTTCGTCGTCTTGAAATCCTGCCGACACTCAATAAGGCCGTCTAGATCATCAATGCATTTCCTAGTCCTGAAATCCTGCCACCATGCAATAAGGCCCTCTGGATCATCAATGCCATTCCCGACCTGGAACCTCGACAGCCCACAATCACACCCTCTGGACCATCAATGCATTTCCTGGTGCTGGAAACTTGCCCACACACAACTGGAGCCGCCCGTTTAAACTCTCCGTATGGCAGCCAATAATTAACAACTACTATAATAAATTTTGAAAAGCCACAGCGCTGGTGATTCATAGCTTGACGATGAGTGAATTATTGTCGAAATCCTTTTAATGGGGTTTTCAGTGAGGGAGTTGATTGAGAACAATTCAACTGTGTGTGTTGGGATTTTTTGGCTCACTATTTTTCTAGATTAGGTTATGAAAAGTTGAACATTTCTAAGAAGCCATTTTTATGTATATAAAAGTCTATGTATATTATATATAACTTAAGGATAAAATATACTTTAGTTTAGCTCATTTATTATTCACCCCATACCCATCTTGTGGGCGGTAGTGGAACCAATATACTTAAGAATAGTTTTTTACATATCGCATACGGTATTTTATATTTGGTGGGCTCACAACCCAGGGTCCTGCGTTCGATTCCCGATGTTGCCTGAATATCTTTGGCGACTACCAGTGACGTCAAAGTGTTTAGAGATGGGAAGGAACTTTAAAATATGACTAATTCAAAATCAAATTCGCGGTGTTTCCATGTCCCGTTTTCTCTCGAGTTGTCACTCCGTCAGAAAATGAAACTGTTTAACCCTCCTCAAAAACGTACGACCCCAAGCAACCTACCTAACCTATCGAAGCCGAAGGATTAAAAATATTACGAGGCTTTCTTTTGTTATTAGTACGTAGGTTTTTGAACGAATTGGTCGACTGCGTAAAAAGTGAGGCGTATTTAGTGACCGGACGAGGTGTCCAGTCACCAAATACGCTAATCTGATTCGTTGTTGGAGTCGGAAAAATGATTAAGGATTCTCTCTCTTTGATTTATTGTGTAGTTTTGTGTGTGTTTTAAACTAATATGTATGTCAAGATATTCAAAACTGGACTATATGTGGATGACACTAATGTGACAAAACATTGTCTCGTGATGTTTAATGTTTTTTTGTATCTTTGTGAGTCATACCGTGAATGCGGT